ACGTTGGAGGAGATGCCCTTGCTCCCTTGGAAGTGGCCTTCGCTCCGCAGGCAGCGGCTTGCGTGGGACACGTCCTGGTTCATTCCTAGCGACACAGAGAGCATTCAACACTCTGAAAAACGGCATAAAGCAAAAAACCCCGGCGCCTGAGAAGGGACTGACTCACTGCAGCCTGCAGTGAACTTCCCACGAAAAAGCCGGGCACTCGTTTTTCCCATTTAAGGTATGTCTGAAATGCTCAGGCACTGTGTGCTCCCTGCTGCCGGTCAGAGCCCCGAAGAGCAAACAGCCAAACACTGACCAGTATTCAGGGCTGCTTTAAAACACGWTGCATCTTTTTATTCTTGGAGAAGTTGTCTTTATGATTCCACTTTTAGCTTGGCGTAAGCGGTCACCATCACCCTTATTTTCTGGAGGGTGCTATGTTTGCTGTGGAGTGTTGGGAAGCGTTTTGTGGGCTTCCTGCAGTAGGAAGCACAGTGTAAATGTGTACTAAGCACTTGGTGGTAAATGTCTGCCTGTGTGGTTGTCTGTGGTTGCCACAGAGTGAGATTAGAGATGCACTTGCCCCTTGTGCTGCAGCATCCTCGACCCCTTCTTGGTTTGATGCACTTGGCCCTTGCAGTGCAGCATCCTTGACTCCGTGGTTTGAGCAGGACTAAGTGGGATCACACAGGGACAGCTTTGCAGAGGGAGGCTAGCTGACATTCACAAACATCAGGGTCTAGGTGGGTCATCCTCGTTTTCAAATGTGTTGGCTAATCTCTCTCCCAAAAGCTCCCTGTTGCAAATGAGGAAATCAAGTCGTTTCTGAAGCCTCGGGTTAGTTCCTGCAGGGTGAAGTCCTGGTGCAAGAGGCTTTAAGAGCAATTTTTGCTACGTAGTCCTGGTGAGTTTTTATTCCAGATTCTTTGCTGCGGTATGTCTGAAATCTGTCCTTGTCACCTGTTCTGAATAATGGATGAATTTAGGCTTGGTTTAATCCAGCTCCTTCTGCAAACTTCATTTCTATTTGGTTTAAGCAAAGCAAGCCGAGAGCAGCTCATACTGCATATCCCTCGTGCCCTCCCAGACAGACACAGCACAGATTCAGTAGGTCTGACTGCACTTATAAAATAATCATTAGCATCTCACTTTGTTCCTGTTATTTATTTATTTATTTATTTATTATTTTTAAGCCAAGCAAAGCCAGACTAGAGCTTCTTATGGGAAGCAGAGCAGCCTCACCAGAGATCAAGAGATAAGAGATGCAAGTCTCGCAGAGGCTGCGCTGTTTAGATGCACAGAGATTTAAAAAAATGCTTTAAAATTCACTTCAGGGCAAAAATGCTAGTTTTTCAGTGGAAATCCTAGCCTTTCAGTACCCTGTGTTTTCTTGAAGGAATGTATAGAGACCTGTTGGAGGAAAAAATAAAGGTGTTAATGTCGGAATAACAGATTATTTTCAACGCAGACAAATGGCAGTGCTACGTTCCAGCTGGAAACTAAGGGAAGGGTGGAGGGGAACCCCTAAAGCTTCCCCAAAATAGCGTTTCCTCTTGCACCGCACCTGCAGTTAACGTGGGCTTTGTCTGCCCTGCGTTTGAGTTCCTCCTTCGCGTTGTGACTTTCCCTTCCCTCCCTCGGAGGGCTCACGCGGCAGATGCCCCGACGCACGCGATCGGTCTCACCAGCCTCTCCAGACACGGATCCAACCTTGGAAAGGGCCTTCCCAGGGCTGTGGTCACCTGTGGAATTCCTGCGCTAGTGACCAAGGGGACACTTGGAAGGAAAATGCTCGGTGTGAGGCTGGGAAAGGGACCTTGGGTGGTTGGTTCCCCGGCCAAGAGTCGTGCGCCGGGTAGTACGTGTAGATCCTGGGGCTAAAGACTGCACGGCAAAGAGAGGCTTCCAATCCAATTTGGAATCCGTGCATCTGGAATTGGATGTCGGTGCATCTACAGCCTGCTGTGCCACCCGCCCTGCTGCTCCTCCCGCTCCTTATTACAGCCTGCTGGATTGCTCTTGGGGAGCAGGACGAGAGTGTAATTAATGTAATTCCAATCAAAGGCAGCGAGAAGAAAAGAAGCCGAACCAAAAAAAAAAAAAATCCTTCCAACACTTAGGCAATTAGATGCCAAAATAAATATGCAGCTGTGTGTGYCTAAGTATGTGAAAGGTATCTTAGGCTTTATATTGTGCTTAAAAATTATTGGGGTGATTGCATGCAGTGGCGTCTTGTTAGGAACAAACGCTCATATATTTGTCTCTTTAGCCAAGAGATTGTCAGTGATTTGCATTAGTAATTCTTTCCAGCAACAGATTCTAAATATAAAACTCTTATAGTTTTCTGTTATCAAACATTGGTAAAGAAATGCCTCTGTCTTGCAGCTAATGTTATCTGCTTCTGCTAAAAGATGTGCAAAACAAGAGCCCACAGCAGAATAATACCTTTTATGTACTTTGTTCCTGAATTATCTTTGGGTAGTTGTGTACTCCAGTTATCATGCCAAGTATTTCCTGGAATGATCCTCACCAAACCCCAGCAGACCTTGCATCTTGCACAACCTCTGTTGCATCAGCGACGTTTGCTGCATAGGAGGTGACGAGCAGGGTTGTTCCCAGTCTGGAGAGGGTTTATAGGGCTTGAATCCGCGGGGAGAGGCTGGGTCCTGTGGCGGGGTGGAATTTTTGTGCTTTTTTTTTGTGGCACTTTCCTTGATTTCTGGTTGTTTGGGGGCCACCTCAGCTAACGGTGCAGGGCAGCGCTGAAGCTTTATCTGTGAGCCGCAAATTTTGTAATCAGAAAATCCTCCCCTCTTCTTAGCTGAGTAGCTGCAGCTCCTGGTGGTGGTGCTGAACTGGAGAGACCCAAGACCCAAGTAGATRCTTGGCACAAGGAGGCATTTGTTCAACTCAGTCCTGTCGCGCGACTTGTTCTTTGCCTTAAACACGTGGCCCTTGCTGAAGCTCGAGGCACTAGCTGAAAGCTGAAGCTCTTTGGGCCTGAGAGCGCCTGAGATGCTGCTCTTRTGCCTAGGAACTTATTTTTCATAGCTGGCCATTAATATTTCCTCAGCTTGCACCCCCAGGGGGTTTCTTTTGGAAAGGCTGAGTTTACAGAGTGCACTTATATTGTAACAGACACTAACCCTGATTCTGCAGGAGGGATTTTATTTGCTCTGCTGTTGGTTGATGAGCAGCTTTACTGTCTGAGGGAGRGCAGAGCTCTCAAGCAGGTACTTAATATATTTTAATTGATCAAACGACTCATTTGCTTGGGCTGCTTCCTGGTGCTTTAGCTTCCCTAGCAATGCCCAACCTGCCTGATAAAATGTGAGCTGCTTCTGGAAGCTCATGGGCATAAAGGAGCAAAGCACGGGCTGTAGCGGTTGCACTTGGTGTTGTTGGTACATCCCATCTGTGCCAGTATTTTTAGATTGGCGATTTTCTCGAAGGCACCACCTTAGAAAATTGCTGTTCTTTGGTTTCAGCGAAGCGCGTGGTGTGCTCCAAGGGGAAACATCCTGCAGGGTATTTCCTTCTCTTCCTCTCCCTGTCCCGCTCCTCCAGCTTTTCTGCCTCTGTTCTGTGAGGAGCATCCTCTTTTTTTATGCTCTGGGTGCAGATTTTTGTACAGTCTGAGGATCCAGATGCACGCAGGAGTTATGAAATGAATTCAGGAGTGAGAGGGCCAGCGGCAGCCTGACGGTCCTGTGCTCGGGGCTCACATCTGCGTGAMTCCAGTGCGGCCCCTCCTGAGAACCACGTAGGAGCCTGAGGTGCCTTCAGCCAGCTCCGCAAACCCAAGCAAGCCGTGCCGAGTTGAAAACGAAACAGAAGGMTTGAAGTTAGACTTAAGGTTCTTTAGGAGCCGGAGACAGGGCTTAGGTTTTACTGCCTGGCTCCGGCTGTTTTCTGTCCAAACACACGTGGAAGCATTTCTGTGTTTGGGGCTCATCTCTGCTTGTAGATGGCTTTGTGGTAGAGYTGGTAGGAAAAGCTCTGGGGTGTCTCCGTGTAGCCACCTCTCTCCTTTGCGTTTGAGGCATTGAAGGAGTTCGGATTTAGTTGGTCCAAAAGGTATCTTCTGGAATGGGAATCAGCTTGAAAGTGCAAAATGAAGTTACTTGGGAAGAAAGCAGTCGGCAGTGCAGGCACGGATGGGTTTTCCATGAGGCTTTCCCTAGCAGGAGCCCAGGCCAGAGGAGAGGGCCAGCAGTATTGGGAAGAGGAGCCGAGGGCTGGCAGGGAGACCGGGCATGTGGTCCGAACACGGGAAAGGATATCGTGGGTGAAGGAGGAAAAAAAGGATACCAGAAATGACCCCCAAAATCACTGGGGACAATTGTAGAATTAATAGYGCTGTGACTATTAGCAAAGAATTGAAGCTTAAGCATTTAAGGGAGAATAATTTGCACCTGAAATGTCCCTTTTTGAGCTTCCGTCTCCGTTAATTGTGAACACAGCTATCAATGATTGTTTGGAGCAGCCTTGTGCTCCTGGTGCTTCCGAAGGGAGGCAGCACTCGCAGCCCTTGGTGTTTGAGCTAATCGAGTAGAAAGACAGATCCTTTGGGGATGCAAAGTTGTCCTGGACAGTCTTGTTATCAGGAAGCAGCTGAAATCACCTATTTTACAAGCTATTTAGCAGTCCCTTTTAAGGATGGAGGGTTTACATTGGTGTTTGCTTTGGCACTGACTTGTCTCAAAGGCGTCTTCAGAGATGTGGGGAGGTGACCTGGGGCTGGCTCCTGTCCTGGGCTCCACTGGGATCTCCCCTCGCTGCCCGGAGGGCAGAATGGGAAGGATGACATTAGGGTGGCGCCTGAAGGACAGCGCTTGGCTGTAAACAGTGTCTTTCCTGTTAAATTACTGATCCTGGGAGCGCGCTTTAGATCAGCTATTTTTAAAGATGGTCTGTCCACTAAGGATGTCGTTAGGTACTGCCAGAGTTCTAATATTAACTGCACGCTTACTGTTCCTGTTGCAAATTCAGCTCTTTTTCCTTCTTCTTAACAGGCAGCCAGACAAACTAGTGGTGGTTTGGACGAGAAGAAGTCGAAGAAAATCCTCCAAGGTGAGTTGATTGCTYAAGAAGGCCCCATTTTGCAGAGAACCACTTGGCTGTTTGACTGTGGGGAGCCACAGAATAAATAGGAAGTGTTAATTGTTTTTCTTACTTCCCTTTAGCCGTGGAGTTTGGAACGAGCTGCTCTTAAATGTCAGTGGCGACACTGAAATAAGAGCTCTAGTTCTGGCACGGATATTTGCTTAGTGCAAGGGTACGATAACCAGTTCCATTTTAGTTATTGCTAGACCTAATTAGAAAAAAAGCATATTTCATTTCTAGAAGTGTCTTATATTTAAGTTAAAAAGAATAAAAGGCCTGCAAGGTTCTGACATCCCTGCAATAGGAGTATAAAGACTGCAAAAGAGGCTCTTTCACCACTAGAAAATACTGGAAATGCAAAAGCAGCTCTTGCAGCCCCGTGGGGCATCTCTGAATTAAATTTTAACATTTAACTCCCACAAACGCTGCAAGGAAGCTGATGAATTTGTGTTTTATGGCTAATGACTTGGCAGCCAGAGGAGAGGGAAACTCCAAGTGAAGTCGGTCCAATATTTGGGCATTCCTAACATCTCTGTCTTGTGTGTGTTTTAGTGTGTCARACTAAGCAAGCAAACAGAGTAAATCTCTCTTCTTTGAGCTCTACCTTGCTGTTTTCCCTGCTGTCACAAATCTGAAAGCCCAGTGAGGTGCCTGTACCCGTGTTAAACGCTGCTCAGTTTGCCTGCACTGCTCAGCCCTACTGCTCTGGGTTTAAGATGTGGTTATTCAAGGTGAGTCCTGCTTCTTCCTGAGGAGGAGGCACTCCTGAATGCCTCCGAAAAGTCTTCTGCCCAAGAATCAGGTTGAGTGCTAAGAGGGAAAAAATGTTATTTGTTGGTATTTTGTGCCCCGTGCTCTAGRTGTCCCAGTTTGAGCAGGAACGTTGGACTAGGTGATCTCTAGAGGTCCCTTCCAACCTCAACCGTTCTGTGGTTCGGTGAAACCAGTGGGCAGTGGGGCTGGGATCCTGCACTGGCTTCCAGTGGCCACGTTGCCTTCTGGTGAGGAGAAGTTCTGACATTCACCCAGCTTTCGAGCTGAAAGCTTCAGCAGGCCCATGAAATTGCAGAATCTGCTCCTCTGCGAATCAGCCCTCGGGCACAACTCTCACATAAACTCACAGATTTGCCTGGGGCTCCGAGGAGTCGTTAGCCAATTAATTATTGCCTAGTAGTGCGTTACAAAGGTACCTTAAAGGGTGCTCAGTGGCCCTAAGGCCTGGACTTTGCGCAAAGTTTACTTTAAAGCTAAGGTAGTTGATATGATTTGARTTGTTTGGGTCCAGGACTGTAGATCAATAAATGTTCTCAATCTCTTAGTCATCCTGCCAGTAAAATTCTTTATTCAATCCATTATTTCTTTCATCTAATTGCTTTCTTGGAAGCTGGTCAAGTGAATATTTCTTCTTTCGCTTTTGACAGTCACTGAGCTCAGAGTACCAAGCTTTAATCCTTTCCGATGGTTTTCCGTTCCTTTTAGAAGGAAGAGGGGAAAGGTCATGCTGTAATGATGATGTAAAGAATTCTTCAGAGATGACAGTTCTTTGCTGAACTTTACTTAGTTAGGGATAACTAAAGATATCCTAACAGATAGTTATAATACTCAAAAATATAGTCTAAAAATGATATGCTAGTGCTGTATATATAGATATGTGASTGGCCTGCTTAACAAAAGTAATGTTTGAGTTGAAGGACGAGTTTTTGATGTCCTTTTAAGCCTTTTTTGTTGTTTGTCTCCTGTGGTTTTCTCTGGTTTTGATGTTGCTGCCTTTGGCCTGTACTTTACTTCTGCTGCAAATGGTCCCTAGATTAGAAGAAATCATGGAGAGGCATCATGTGCAGGCATCTGATGAATATTTTAGTTGTTGCTCTGAGAAATGTGGGCTAGAGAGCTGTAAACAGACTATAATAAGTTTTAAGAATGGGACAACCGAACAGCAATAGCCGTTTTGAAAGCACATTTAAGTGGTAGTCAGATCGGAATCTTCAAGACCTCCAGCAGTTGCTGRCCTTGACACACATTTAAATGACTTAAAACACAATTCTGGGATCCCCTGTCTCCGAGTGAGTCTGTTCCGATGCTTTTAACGAGGTGTGTGAAGGCAAACGGGTTCTGTAGGTGGAAATGGGCTTAAATCAGAACCTAGAGATAGGTCTGGCCACAGCTTTTCAGACCCGTTTAGAGAGTTACCAACCTTTGTAGCTTACAAAAGGGGAACCTTTTAGCAGTGAACTTAGCTCTTCCCCTTCAGTATCTATTGTGGTGTTAGGTTCGGTAGGAACCTGGTAGGTTCCCATCATGTTTTCGGGCCTTCAGACTGTGAACTTGCCTTTTTTATTGAGAGGAGAAGAAATGACTTTGCTTCCATGTAGAGCAAGGGGAAAACGTGTTGTGAAATGTTTGCTTTATTTCGCTGAGATGCTGCAGCATTACAAGGCTTTGAACGAGGAGAAATTTTATTTGAAACGAGACGTTGCTGCGGTGTCGAGGAGGTCCGTCCTGCCGTTCCTGTGAACTCCCGCAGGCTCCTGGTGAGATTACGCAGCTCTGAAGAATCAAATTGGTGCTTTTTGCTCGGAGCCTGACKATTACCCTTCAAAGAAGCCCTTGGTATCAAAGCTGCAAAGAGACGCCTGCCTTCCCTGCYGGTTCGGTCCTTTTGCTGAAGCTGTAGGGAAAGTTGTTCAAATGCAGGGGAGCTGCGACGGGCGAGCTGGGCACAGCGAGCACTTGTCGGGCTTCTTTGCTGAGTATTAAAACCAGGAAAGWTTGGCGAAAGATCTTAAGGTTGCACAGACAGGCACTCGAAATTAGAAGAGTTGTTTTAATGGTCGGTGTCTCCCCTTCTAGGCCTGCGGGAGAGCGATGGCAGGTTGGTTTTACACGGCCTTCCCGGCTGGCTGGGTGGGCACGAAGAGGAAGAGGAGGAGAGCGGTGAGCAAAACTGGAGGGTGGGTGTTAAAGGAGGTCCAGGACGCGAAGGAAGAACTGCTTCACTGTGCTGTGGTGAAACGGTAACTAAAAAAGATGGGAAAGTAGAATGTAAAGATGCAGCAACTAAAAGAGATGGAAAACTGAGGAAAATAATCAGGCTTTTGGTTTCTTTTTTTTTCTTTCTTTTTTTTTTTTTTAAAGAAGCCCCCTAAATGAGAGCAGAAAATGAATGATGAGAATGGAAAATTAAATTGCTGCTGCTTATCTGAGCRTCATCTCTCCTGGGCAGTGAGTGAGGCAAGGCTCTGGAGGCRAGAGGAGCAGCAATCATGGATTTTGGGACTGTCATGGGCCGGATTAGCTCTGAGCAGCTGAAGAGCCGCTTCCAAAGGGCCGGTTCCTGCTGCGTTTGCAACCCTGGGCGCCTGCAGGTTTCCAGCAGCATCGGGCAGACACGGGGCCGTCCGTGCGAGATGGGCACAGGGCTGCTGCTGCCCTGCCCTGCTCCCTCCCGTGCCCAGCATGCGGCCGTTGGCAAAACTTGCTCAGGGAAGGGAAAGCAGCAGCTCAGGCTGAATCCTGGCAAAACTGCTCCCGGAGCTGCAGGTGGGCAGCAGTGGCAGGACTGGGTCTGATTGCTGGTTTTTCAGCAATGTTGAGGACTTGGCTGGAGGGGAACACATTTTTGGTTCATAAATACCGACTGTTTCATAGCTTTCAGTAGGCTAAAAGATTAAAGTCAGCCCTAGGACCTTGCAGGAGCCTCACCTGCAATTGTACTGGATTAAGGAGAGAGATGTGGGCACTAATGAAGGCTAGATGAAGCAGGCAGATGAGTAGCATAAAGCTTTYCTGAAGATAGGCTTCTGGAATAACTTAATACTTGGGCCTTTACGAGGTTAGCAAAGAGTTTCACGTAGGCAAAGGGAATGCCTGTGTTTTGGGACACAGCAAAGCTTTATGTTTCAGGAGTTTCAGGGGTATTTAGTATAGGCCAGGTTTGCCTGCAACCTGCAGCACAGGGCTCTGTGGCCTGAGAGCTAGTGCRTTGTCACAACTCTCCTTCCTCTGCTCCCCCACTCCTTCCAGCTGTCTTCCAACAGCCCAGGCCCTTAGTTTTGATGTTATCTCCRTCTGCCCCGCTGTTTGTGTGGCACAGGCTGTATTTTTCAAAGCCAAAGGAGGCTTTGATGATATCCAGCTGATGGCAGGACAGCTTTGCTCTGAGAGCCCCTTAGCTGGGACTCGTCGTCTCCTTGCTGTTGCTCTCAGTGACGTGCCCAAAGAATTACAGTAACAGAAAATTGTTCAAACATACATACATACATATATATATATACACACACACACACACACACGTGTGACATCCTTGTCTTCACACTTTGGCTGCAGCGGCGAGTGCTTGTTGTCTAATTCTTGTCTTCTATAAACGCAACGTGTGAACTTTAGTTGAGCAGTCCTGGACCTTAAAGGTTTGACTGTATTGGTCACGATCAGCCCAAACCAAAAGACTAGCAGAGGCCCCAGAGTAGCCAGAAATCCCTCTGGCTCTTTTCCTCTGGTGGTTGCACAGCTTGAACTCTACCAAGAGTTTCTCCATTCCTTCCCTTCCTTTTTCTTCCCAGTTCCCTGCCTGCTGCACCTTTCCCCTCTTGCCCCTGCTGCTTTAGCACTTTAGTTTTCTTTAGCAATGGGGCTGTCACGTTATGACCCCAGTGTCTAGAACGTGCTCTGCTTATGACACCCAGAACCACTGAGAACTGTTGCCTTTGTATGAGCAGCGCCTTAGGGTAACGGAGATGCAAATGCTGCCAGCTTTGTTATTAGCAGGAATTTGCCCTAATAGGGATTTTTAATCTGGAGTTCCGAGTRTTGAACAGGACTGTAAGGGAAAGAGTGATGCTGCAGAAAGTGGAGGGGAAAAACGCCTGCCTAATTGGCTTCAGCTAGCAGCATCTACACTATACCTTCCTTTTTTTTTTTCCCTAACAAAAACTCAAAAACTACAACAAATTTTCAAAACACCTGTGCTGCTCAGCGGTTGATTGTGTATCAGTTTCCCTCCCTCATTTCTGTCTTGCATCACAAAATGCATTAAGGTAAGCTTGGGGGGAAAAAAAAAAAGCCTTTTTGCCCCAAGCTAGAGATGTTAACACATGGTTCTTCAAGGGTAACTGTTATGATTTAAATACAGACCATTCATCTATCGGGACTGCTGTCCAAAACGAGCAAGTTCTCTGGGACTTTTACTGTGCTCTGTCGTGGCCTTTTCTAGTGGCAGACACCCCAGCATATTCATTCTTAAGAGCTAAATGTTTTAGTAGCGTTTAATCTGCACTCTTAAGTTGTTGCTTGGTTCTTTCTGTACTAGGGCAAAAAGACATTTTTATTTAAGCCTGAAGATAAATAAATTCAAATCTGTGCAATGTGCTTGTTCTCCTTGCATTTTCTTTAAATGAAAGCATCTCCTCGTCTGGATAAATCCAAAGCAGCGTCTGACTGGTTAAGGAAGCTCAGTGTTTCCTCGTGGCTGTTGTTTGTGCATCGTTTGTGTGTCCTGATCTGCGCACAGTCCTTGCAAGGGACCGTCTTAGTTCAGCAGAGAAACTCCTGCTAATGATCYAAGGTCCCTTATCACATTCTTAACGATGTCAGTAGCGTCCCGCACCGCGGACAGCAGTCCTGGTGTCAGGAGCGCCTGCATCCACCGACACCRGCCTCGCGGGAGTCGCGCTGCTCTTTCCTGTCGGTGTTAACACAACTGTTTCTCTCCTCCTTTTAGGCTCACAGCTGGCAGCCTGGAATCAAAAACCCGTACCGCGGCGTGGTGGTGTGGCCTGTGCCTGAAAACGTGGAAATCACCGTCACGCTTTTTAAGGTATGTGTAGAAAGCCTCATCTTCCCTAATTTCACCTGCACCATACAAACCAACGCTGCCTGGGAACGTCCAATTCCATTCGTAAAGGTGTGATCTTGTTGATTGTTTTTTTTTTAACTCATTAACTTCACAACCTTAGGTCCAGAGCTTAAATTCCATCGGGAATAGTGGTAGGTGCCATGCCAAAGCTCGTGCTTGTAGCTTAAGGAACACCCTCTTGTATCTCATTGAATTGATTTATGGCTTGTTGCTTGCATAGTGTTCAGTACATGGTGAGTGTTTGCTGCACAGAGGTCTGCCCTGACCTAGGCTATAGACTAGTCTATTTTCTTTAAAACTGGGTGCCGGGAGGACTTGGAAGAGCCCTTCCTGGRCTGGTTTGTTGAGCTGCAGCACAGTGGTGGCACTGTCGACTGTGAACCGGAATCCACCTCGGAATTTTATCGTATTTACAACGTCACACAAACATCACAGCCTGGGAAGTCGGTGTGGAATATCTGAGTAGGGCAGACGATTGTAACGCATTGTGTGAGAATTTTAGGTGTTTAAGGGAATTTTTAAAAAGTCACTTTGCTTTCTCCTTTTCTGTTTTTTTAAGGGCTCGTCTCCCTTCCTGTGAAGCAGGGAGAGAAGACAGTGGTTGTGCTAGGGCTGACTAYTCAATTGGCATTGGAGAAAGGCCCTTCTGCGTGAAGATAAGCAATGCAGCTTTGCATATAGCATAGCAGGGAGGCTGTCCTGCAGGCCCAGGACCTAGGGGACTTTCATTCCTGCAGTCCCYGCTGGTTCTTTGCTCTGCTGTTTCCAGCTACATTCTAGCTGCTCTCATTTATAAGTTGCACCTTTTACAGCTTAGGGTAACAGAAACTTTTTTTTTTGTTTTCTATTTAGTGATTTTTATATCCCTTTGCTTTTGTGGCTCCTCTGGCTAACTGCTCAAAGTGGCTCCTAGTTAGCCTTAGAATGAGAATGTGTTTCTTGGTTCATTAGGCATAAAAAGGAGGTTCCTCTCATATGGGTTTTTCTTGTTGAAGTTCTTGGGAGGGCCAATGGGGTGAAACACCCCGGGTTGCCGTGACGTAACTACCATAAATTTGTCTCTCAGCAAGCCCGTTTTCTTCAGTGGAGGTTCAAAAGTTCACTGGCAAAAATGATTTGCTGTTACGTGCTTCAAGGGCCTCTGCTTGGAGTAAGAAGTTTAACACCATTTTGTGACCACGCTGCTTATCTATAGGAACTRAAGATGACTATGCAATATGTGAGCTGTTATTTAATGCTTTTAACATCTAAAATGTGGCAGAAAGATAYGTAATTCTTCCTGGTGAATACTACAGTATGTTGTAGAGACTACGAGTGTCTTTTTGCTGCAGTTCTGTGATGTGGTGACTTTGGAAGTAAAAGCGTCTCCCAAATCCTGCTGTCCCACCCCAAGATAGGGATGGGAGAGAGGGGCCTCTGGAGCCACTGCTGGGTGTTGTGTGACCCACTTAATGTTATTCAGCACCGTGACTCTGCAGACGGGTGGGTTCTTGGGTCCCCTCTTCCCAGAAATGTGTCTGTGTCTCTGCGCTGCCCGTCACGGGGTGGACAGGGGACGAGAGGGAGGGTCTGACACCAGCAGCTGGGCTGGGTGACCCAAGTGACCCAAACCCTGTACTGTGTGTGCAGSCAGGGGCACCCGCTGGCACGAGGGGCATGGTGCTGGTGTGGATCCTAACGCCTTCCCRCCGGGAAGGGRCAGGCTGCAAAACAGCTGCATGGTTTGGGAAGCGATCCACGCGGTGGCAGCTCCAAGTGGCTGCTGAAATGTGTCGCTGGTGGCACGAGGAGATAAGCTGCCTTTCGAGTGCTGACGAGAGCGGTAAGTGTCCTCTCCACTAGTCACCAGCGGCCACTTGAGAGCTGGCCAGGAGAGCACGTKCGAGCAGACGAGGGGCTGGCGAGTGGGACCTCGTCTGCACGGCCCCTCTTTGGGAACCTGCTYGTCTCCAAGAGCCTCCCTGGCCCTTGGAATCAGGCAGAATGAAGCACTGAGTAGGCACTCAAGGAAATTTTCTTTTCAAATAAAAAACCTCTTTTTACCCTTATTTCGGGCTGCTGCTTAAAACCACGTGTTACCCTGGAGTCATTTAAGGAAAAGCATCAAGTGGGAACGTGAACCGATTCATCCTCCCTTATCTAGTTCCAGCTGCTGTCCATCTCGCTAGTTACAGTGCTCATTAAATGGAAAGTTGCAGCTGATCTGCAAGTTTCACTGCTTTCTGTTTCCCTGTTCTGCATTTGTGTCTCATGTCCTTACGTTCTTGACCAAAATGGGAAGAAAGCAGTACTGGGAAACAATAACCCTATTGTGCTTTTTAAGTCCATCGTTGGTAGTGCTCTCATAGAAAGACCCACAAATGCCGGAAAAGCTGGMGGCATGCACATTTTTCCCCGTTTCCATGGTTGCACTCCAAAAGTTCATTTTTGGAGCCCGTGCAGAAGCAGCGTTTCGCTGTCATACACGAGAGCCTCTGTGTTTGTGCCTGCGTGGTTTTTCTGTGCAAACACGGCCGTCGATCAGTCGGGAGAGATGAGAARTGAGGAATTCTCAGCGTCAAGGAAGCCCAGTGCTTCAAGAAAGTGAAGTGACGGTGTCAYTTGTGCTGTGAGGATTTCACCTGCAACGTTGTGCTCGCTGGGCCTAGACTGGACTCCTGGAGCAGAGGGAGTTGCTCTTTTGGGAGCAGGCAGGCCTGGACTTTGCTTCATTGCGGTGCAGAAAGCGCTCACGTAATAAACCGTGTATCCTGGTGGCCAAGCTAGTTTGCAATTGCAGCAAAAAGCAAAGATTAGCAGCAGTTCATTGCAAAATTTGAAGAAAAAGAGAAAGGAAAACAAAAGYGGGGAGGGAATTAAAAAAGGAGGTTTTTTTTTTTCTTTTTAGTGTCAAAAAGGGATATGCATTTAAGCACAGGAAAATAAATGCCGTGAGTGAAATAATTAAACCAAAATCATAAAAGAAGCTTGAGCTGTTGGAACTATTCCCATTCCTATTAGCTTCTTCCAGAAAACTTCGTATCGTCTCATTTGGAAGCCTGAGTCAGGGTTTTGATTGCAGTGTCCTCCACGCTGTGTGCTAGTAGGATTCACCTATTTATGTGTGAGAKATATATATATCACTTTATATATGTAATTTATATATATCTATCTGTTTATATAAAATACGGATGACTAATATGCATGCCACCCTTCCCAGATGCAGAGTTATTCTCATAAGCAGAGCGCAGTACGTGTGCCGGGCCTTGTAGGTGTGAAACAGCATCGTGCAGAGGCTGTCTCTGCAGCAGGCTTGCTGTGAACACCAGTGAGCACCACAGGGCACGGGCTGCTTTCCATCTCCTCCCTGGCAGTGCAGGAAATAATTGCCAAAAGGCCCTTCCTTTCTAATAGTGATCAGAATAGCCACCTTAGCGTGCAGTGGCATTTACTATCATTATACTGCAGCACAGCCAATGCACTGAGGGGTTTTTCCCCCTCTCGAGACAATCAGGCCATTTCCTAGATGCCAAGGCCAAATCCGGGCTCAGAGCACAGTTCTGGTTTGTAGTCTTAGGAGTGACACTGTGGGTGACACTCTGTAATTTTTGATTTTTGTTCCCTACAGAAATCCTAAGCACTGGGGTGTGGAAAGTGCAGAAATTTTTTCACGCCAAATACAGTTATTTCCAGGCTTTGTTGGGGGTTAGTTTTAGAACCCTTGTCATAGAAACTATGAAGAAGAAATGAAGCTCAAGGAAGAAATGAAGGCTAAAAGGCATCTGTAGCCCAGATGTTGGAGAGGAAAGTGTGAGCTGTGGAGCTGGGATGGAGAGGGACAAGCCTTACGGTTTGCTTGGAGCCCGCTGCTTCATGGAGATGCATGGCAATAAAAACTGGCCAGAGGGAGGTGATTGTTCCAGCCTGATCGGACCTCTGCAAAGTGCATTCACAGGGACAAGAGCTGGGTCAAGTTCTCAATCTTCTGCAGCTTCCAAGAGCTGAGCAGAAACACTGAGGACACGCAGCAGTCTCAAGGAGGTGGTTACAATGCTGGGAAAGCATTAGATGTTTAAGCTGGTGATTTAGAAGAGCTGGTGCTCTTTTTGTAAGAGAGCACCCATGGAAATGTTAGCCCAAACGGTGGCATGGAGGTGGCAGCAGAGAGGATCTGTCATGGTTGGGACAGAAGTGCCTGGTGCTGCCGAGCACCTCCTGAGGTCTGAGTTGGCTGCAAATCGGGCCGTGCCTGCTGCCCCTTGGGCGAAGCCTGCAGCGTGRTTGCCCTGTGTTGCAAGAGAATGTGCGTGTTTATGTGTAAATCACTTACTCAGGGCTCTCTGTTTGTGAGGCATCTTAAAAGGCCCAGGGAAATGCAGCCTTTAAAAAAAATGGTTCTTGTTTGCACATGCTTGTCTTAAAATATGAAATATGCTGCATGTTTGCAAAATGCCTGCAGTTTAGCATTTTTCCCACTCTTTGATTTTTGATTGTTCACTAGAGCATCACTCAGACCAGCACCTGAAGCTTTTCATTTTGGTTTCTTCTCTAGGTGATAGGTARGGAGTTGGTGATGAATATAATAGAATTCATTTTTCAGAAATATTCCCRGCTCATTTTAACAACACATTAGCCTGCATCTGAACAGAAAGAAGCCTTTTTGTTACACAATACTATTTCACTCTGTCAGATTAGCAAAAATACACAGCAAAGCCCCTGCTCCTGTTGCCTTTAGAGGTGAGTCGGAATCGTTGCTGTAAGTAGGAGAGCTTTGGTTTTCTGTATAGATTATTGCCTTGCAGGGACAAAACYGAGTCGTTTGGTTTGTTACCTGGGCTGAAATACCATGCAACCATACCTTGGCTTTGCAAGTAGTTTTAAGTAAACCCACAAGTCATCTTACAGGCTTTTGGGAGAGCAGTGCAAAAAATAGAGCTCGATGAAATATTAAAGAGTTCAGTCACTTGCTAAAGACTAGCTTATTAAAACATAAAGTGATTAATGATCTCATTAAATCTCATTATATCATTTTATGCTGTATCAGAGGAAGCAGTACTAAATTAAAGAGGTAATTGCCCCAGGTTAACTCGTGGAAAGTGATAAGTATTTAATAGCTGGAATATGGATAATCCGKGTGGAAGTGGTCTGCAGCAAACCAGCTAGGGATCGTGCACGTTATTTACGCAATGCATCGTGCTACAAAGCTGATTAATGCAACCAGGATATAATTACTTAATCTGATATTTACAAGTATATTAATGGGAATATGACACATCCAGACGTAATTTGTGTGTGTATCAAGTTGCCCATAGATCATTTGGGCCAGCAGTACAGTGTGTATTTTTACACCCCCTTGCAGTATGTACAATACTTGATTGTTTTTAAGACCATATAAAAAGTCATGCATTAAGATTTCTGGTAGCACTCTTTTATAGCGATGCACGTTTTTGGGGCAGCGCGTTTTTAATGTATGTTTTAGGTGTGGTGGTACTTCATGCACGTGGGGTCGGTGCCCCATGTCCACTTCCTTGTCACCTTATTGACATCCCCCAAAGCCTGAATCCCAGCTGGAGCATTCTTTTGTAGCATCTTCACGGGGTAGAGATATGTGTACGAATTATCTTCTGAAAATGCTGCCTGCATTACAGTTTTCTTACCCGTTGCATTATTTTTAGACTTAAATTCTGTCTTCTGTTTTTCTAGGATCCCCACGCTGAAGAGTTTGAAGACAAAGAATGGACRTTCGTCATCGAGAATGTAAGCTGGGATGTTACGTTTTTCTTCTTGCACACGTGAGCCTTAATGATTTAAAAGATTAAAGGATGCCTGAATGCTGGAAAGGTTTGAGCTGCCGAACCACACTAAAACTTTGTTCTGTAGTCATAAAGACTAGTTAAAATAATTACGTCCTGATTAAAATACAGGAGGGGGAGTGCTACACTTCATGGCTTAAATGCTTTCCCTGTCCTGTAAGTTATATATTGCTTTATTTTTCTGTGAGSCATGGAGTAAACAAGTTAGAGCCGAGCGATGACTCACTGTTTTATGGGTTATGACACATTATTTTTCTATGAGCAGGGGAGTGAACAAGTTAGAGCTGGATTCTGACATCTGCCCGTCCCGAGCTGCCGCGCACGCCCTGTTCAGCCTGGAATATTGCTTTTCAGGGAAAAGCAGGTTCCCTATCTTCCCTTAGAGGGGAGGAAACCGAGGCTGGGTGGAGAGGTGGGCCCAGCCACGGTTGCTTCCCAAAGAGGGAAATCGTGGGGTGCTCCATGCACCTTCCTCTCCCTCGGATGGGATGTAGGGCTGGCAGGAGCACAGGCTGCTCTCGCGTGGTGCTCCAGCCTGCTCCAAGCTGCCGGGATGTTTCGGGGTGGGAAGAGGCTGTGGCTTTGGGGCCCCTAAGGAAGCCAGCCCTGCCTTGCAAACATGTCTCGGGAGCACGGAGCCAATCCAAGAGTAAGAGCTCCGCTTAGTGGTGGATGAAAATTCCTCCGTTTATTTAGCTCGGAGAGGGATGAATTGTCCAACCGCTTTATCACCTGGGAACAAAACGCCTCCTCATCCCAAAATTGGGAGCCAGCAAGATGGTTAACCTAAYGTTTATCCCTTCCAGGCTTAACGTAGAGCTTTTCAGTTTTCTTAAAGGAACGTGCTCGAACTCAAATCCGTCCAGGACAGTCACTTCTGTGACCCAGTCCTTGGGGCTTGTTCTTTTCGTGCAGCCAGGCTCTCGAAAGGACTTTCCTGACGTGGTAGCTAGAAACACCAACAAAACAAAACACTGCAGCCGAGTGAGTTTACAGAACAGGAAATCCTTTCATCAYAAAGCAGCCTACATTTTAGCAAAACCCGTTTTGTTGGAGCTTACATTAAGCATTAAGACAGTTAGAAGTCAGTGTCCGAGATTGGTCAATGGGGTCCTGTTCATGGGGTCCTGAAGGAAGGCTACCAAGAGCCCAACAGAGCTTAGGTTTGGGACAGATCTCTTGCTCTCTGGAGGATTTCCTGCACTGACTGCAGAGAAATTTGGGGGTTCYTCAGATATTTTGAAGCCCTTCCTGGCTTTACATACAAGAACTTTGTGTTCTTGTGCGGCTAAAGTCACAAGAGCGTCGTTTTGTTTCCATGCATGCTCAGTGCATGGTTGCTCACCATCTAAAGAGGACAGAAGGTAGGTCTCTCGAGCATGGACCGTTCTTTTACCTGTGTGGCAGCTTCGTAGATGAGTACTTTCCATGCTCTTAAAGGAAACTGAAAAAWTAACAGGATTTTTCAAACGTTAAGGTTATAGTATGCAGTGTATAGTATGCAGTGCATGAAATAACTTTTCTACCTTCCTGTAGAAATGTTTTCTAAGCCCTTTCTTCCTCTAATAGCTAAGAAATGCCTTCCTGACATATTGCAAAGTTCATRGTGAACATCTCCATCTTCTGTCTTCCATTCCTTTCCAGCTTTGTGTGTGTATATAAATATAAATATGTGTGTGTGTGTGTGTGTATATATATATATATATATGCTTACCCAAAGCGTAGGATTAATGAAAGCAGTGGCAATTATAACTATCCCCTTTTTATGTGGTGGCCCTTTAGATCATAATCCTTGCTGTTAACCGAGGACATCCCAGCCTTACTTGTTCTGCAGATGAACAGAGCGTTGGTCCCCATTTCTTTCTGAAAGTCGTGTRAGAATTACATAAACTTGGGCTGGAGGGAACCTAACCTGGTCTGTCCTGTTGCCTGAAGGCAGCATCATTCCAGATGAAATTGTCCAARAGGTTTTTGGAAAACGTATGGAAATGACATCTCTGCTTCCTTGTCCAACCACTGCAGATCTTTCTAGTCTCAGTCTCTGTCGATACAGCCTGAGGCTCCTGTTTCTTGCCTTGYTGCTTATGGAATCGGAGAACAGATTGGGCTTTCTGTGTGTGTGGAGGCCCCAKTCTCCTTCTCACCCCTGATGAATCAACCCCAGTAATGTCATAGTGATGAGACATGCGCTGTTCTTCCTGGTGATTGCATTAACAGAGCATTAAMGTCCTCTTTCCAAGGGCTCATTCCCATCAGTGTCCTGCTGTGTCACGCTGTCCCTGTGCTCAGAGGGGCCCAGGAGAAATGGYGCCCTCAACTTCTTCCAGTTCTTCTCCTCAGGTCTCGGGAACTACATATCTGTAGATTTTTCTGATTTTATTTTATTTATTTRGTTTTTCCTGATCTCCCTTTTTAGGACACTCTAATAGTCCATTTTGAAGTGATGCATCTTGAAGAATTGTCAGAAAAATAAAATTCCTTTTGATTTACCACAGATTTATCTTCATTGTAGAAGCTACCCCTTTAAATTGAAAGTGTAACATCTCAGATGTATGCTCTTATAGGAGAGGCATCCAAGTTTTCATTTTTTTCCGGGCAAATACGTCCAACTGAATTGCTGAACTGAAGAGAGGGGGAAAAAAACAGGAGGAAAAAAAAAAAAAGATTAAAAAARAGCTGTTTAGATGTTGTTGTTCATATTGATTGTTGTTGTTGCATATTGATTTACTGCAAACAGATTTAGAAGATGACTATTTTAAGCTAAAAAATGAGGTTTCCTCATTTTGCCTGTTACTTTTGCTTAACTTCAAGAGTCTTAACCCAAAAAGAGGCTTTCGATTTCTGAGCCATTCTGAGATCAAATGCCAGCAAAGCCTCAGAATGAAAGAAGCATCAAAAAAAGTTACAGAAAACTTGGCAGAATCTGATTCCATTGTATTGGAACAAGTGCATTGTCCTGGTCTTTCCCCAAGAAGTTCTGTACTGTGGTTGCCTTTGATTTTCTCTCCTTTATAATCACCCCAAGCATGGTGCACCCTTCACAGGCTGGGAGAAATGATTCCCTCTCCTAAAATATCCATCCGCTCTATTTTTAGATATGACAACACAAATATRGGTAATAATTGATAAATAATGTGAAAGGAATAGGAAGAAGGGGCCAGGAGAAGGGGATGTAAAAATGAGTTTGGTTCTAAACTTGAGGTTTGACTTGCAGAAAAGGGCCACCAGAGCACAGAGAACTTAAATCCTTGGTGCTGTCAACTCCATTGGCAAAAAGAAGCCAGGGAAAGGAGATGGGTCTAGAGAATAAGARGGCTCCTTATTTGCTCATCAGCTGCTGCCCCAGAATTTATTACAGATTCTTGGCTATCTCTCCCAGCGCATCTTTGTAGCCTGTGGGAGCTTAAGGCTAAATTGGCTATTTGATTTATTAAAGAAAATAATGAAAAAAGGTATAGCGTTTGTTGGGTATTTTCTGCTTGAAATGTGCTTTTGGCTTAAAATAAGAAACAACCAGGTTGGCCTTTTCCTGAATTAAATGTCTGCGTTTAATACATTTAGAATAGGAAGCTCATAGTTCAGACATGCTTTCTTGGTCCTTTAATTCCCCTGTCATATTCTGCCGTGTGTGATTATGTGAACTGTGACTGTCTGTGTAAATTAGGCTGGATATTGTGGTCTAGATACGGCGAGGAATTAAATGCTGCTTTGTCAGCCATCTCCCTCTTGCTCGGCTTTGAATTTAATGGAGAATCAGAAAAGTTGCTTTCCTTTTAGTCTCTGCATCCATTAACGCTTCAGCACTTGGTTCTAGCTCAGAAATCCCTGAGATTAGGTTTTTGGAGCAAAATGTGGAGCAGTCTTGGCCTTAATGGGCAGACCTGTTTATGGTAGGTGCAAGGGAGATAATATATGGTGGATATATGGGTTTGGCTGCAGAAAGTTTTCACCAGACACTGAGAAATAAGAAAACGCCCAGTTGCGTTTGGCGTTTGTGACGGACAGGTAATTTCTAGCCAAAGCAAAAATATGCCAGAAATTGGGGTGCCCCTCATCCTTGTCATCATTAATGTGTAACAATCTGTTAAACAGCAGCTATGAGATGAACAACATGCCTTATTTAAATAAGAGAACTTTTAACACCAAAATACACATTTTACACTTTTAATTCCTTATTTATCTTGAATCACCGGAGCACGGATCTTTTTTAATCCATCTGACTCTCTTCTATTGTGCTTTTTTCCAAAATAGTAATAATTCTTTTGTTTGATCTCTGTCTTCCAAATGAAATGCAGTGCCTCAGCTCTACTTTAGATGGCGAGTGTTTTTGGATGCAGTGCTAATAACTGCAGCAGATGAAGCTACTAAAAATACTCGCCTCCAGATTATGGGACAATCGTGAGAATTGTATTAGTGTTTCAGTTTAATACTTAAGGAAGGAGAAATAATCTTATTTTCTGATGTTTGTGCTACAGTTGCATGAGAGMGTCTCGCAAATGGAAGCGGGATAAAGGAGAGTGCTGGGAGCTGTGCAGAACACGTACACGAGATGAGCTTGATGACATGTAATTTTTRTGGTTATTATTGATTCGCAGGGGTAAAGTGCAACTCTTTCCGAAATTGCTAGAACCATTTTGTTCACGTGCTCTGCTGTTTTCYTTCCCGCTAGAAATGCCTCTCTGCTGTGGCCGTGCCGTGCGAGGCAGCTGATCCGCGCGCCTCGTCCTTGCCAGCTGGAGGGAGGCAGCCCATAAACCAGGCAGGCAGCTTCGGGAGCAAACCTCTAATACTGCTGCATTAGGCAGGTTTAAAACCAGCAGTGTGTTTCGGCAATTCTTAGCATATGTTTATTCATAGGAAATCAGCGGTAAAATATACTTGCCAGCTCGCACGAGAGACAGAGTCTGCATGAGGTCTTCTCTTTTTCAGACATCAAATATCGAA